GACGAAATTCTCATTCAGCTCCGCATCCTCGTATTCTCGGTCGCTGCTCTCCTCGTTGTCATTGGGCTTAGAGACGGTGGTCGAGGCCGCGCTCCCTCTCTGGAAGCTGGGTTTCTGAGGCGGGACAGGGATGGGGACGGGCTTACCTTTATTGCCGCTGAACCTGCTCCGATCCCGGCCGAAGGAAGCAATGACCCCCGCTGTGTTACCTGCGGCGTGGAGCCTCAAGGCTCCAAAGTCAGGCAGCCTGGTCCTCTCCCCGTCGACCTCATTGTCCCGCCGCATCGGCTTCCTAATATTCCCAAATGTGTCCGCGTTAAAGTTTTCATCTTTGCCTTCAAAGCCGTGTCGTTTCTGTCGAGCCACGGTGGTCTCCAGGTAGATCACCTTGAATTTCTCCTCCGCCAGAGCCTTCTGGAGCCTCTTCAGGTTGGACTTACACGTCTCCAGCTCCGACTCGATGTCCTCCACGGAGTTCAGGTCCATCCGAGGCACTTCTCCGTCGGGAAATTCATTCCTCCAGTGTTTTGCAAATTCCTCCTGTTCCCACATTTCGATGTTCACACCGGGCTTTCTGCCAGCCGCAGCCCCGTAATGCAACAGTCGGGAGAGAGAGGTGGAAACCAACGGCTGTGTGTCTTCACCGACAGTTAGCGGCGCGTCTCCCCGTTTACAGAGAGAGAAAACAACAGGCTGCCGACATTAACGAATACACTTTCTGACCATCTTCAACCTCCCACACATAATAATCTCAGACCTACGTGTGCGCTGAGAGATGTGCGTGTGATGCAGACACCAACTTTACCAGTACGCTGAAAAGTTTCGAGACTTCCTGTATCGAGACGTGCTGCGTTCAAGTGCTGCCCGGACAAGTGCGACACACCTCAGAACCAGCTTTTAAAGCAGGTGCCCTCGGCTGAAAAAACGAATAATAATATTGCTCCAGCTTTAACATTTACAAATCAAAATTTAGATGATATTAAAATACCAAAGAGGCGAGAAAAAAATACCAAAGAGGCGAGAAAAAAAACACAAAAATTATTAAAGAGTGAATGTAGAAACAAAAAATTATTTATCACAAATTTCGGAATATTCGACAGTGTATGATAGTATTATAACTACATTTTTAACATAAATTCTCCATACTCCTTTTGTCCTGATAAAATATATAACATGACGAGTACCACAGGATATTTATTCGCTGTAATAATTAAATTAAAAGCTCTGACAGCACATAAATGCAACAACTGCCAGTGAGGTGGAAACAGTTAATGAGAGTTCATCTGGTTGTTTTAAACCGTCACCTTTACCTCGTGGGTTAAACTCACTTTTATTCACATTTTTCAGAATTCTCTGATATCCGTGTAAATGAAAGTGAAAGTGTGGATTCTTATTTAAATCATAAATTAGTCTTTTCACATTAACATTTTTTGGCTCAAAAATAATAGATGAATATTTTTAAATTATTCTAATACCTAAAGGCTGAAAGGTTCAGACTTATCCACTTAAAGTAAAATGTGTATTTAACAGTCACAACTTAATGTTATGTTCACTGTTAACTTTACTGCCAGCAGCAAACTCTGTATTTGCATTAGCAGCTTGTGTTACTTGAATGCCTTGATAAAGTATCATGTGTCTCCACTAATCAGCTGGTTTTACTTCATCAGGGGTAAAGCCAGAATTCAGATAAATGTCATTTGATGTCCCGGACTAAGACAACTGATCTTGACCATTAAAAACATAGTCAGCTTTATTTCTTGTCTCATCAAGAGATATTTGATATATATCATGATATCCAGTGAAATGGTAAAGCTGGGTTTACACAGATCCATGTGTGAAGCTCTTTTTATTATGTCTCCAATTTCTATTCATTTCATTACTGTAAAAGGAGGGCACAGACTGTGTCTCCTTCCCTCTAGCTGCTGGTTTCAGTGGTTTGACGTTAAGGAAGGGAGGAGTCTTGAATGTGCATGTTTGTCAGGCTACTTGCTCTCAGGCCTCATAGGAAACACCACGCAGATGCATGCACACATCAGTGCATTTTATATGCATTTGTGCATGCATGTTGCTTAAGAGCATGTCATAACTTACAGTAAATGAACACATCCTCAATCTCATCCTTGTTTTGACTGAGGCTATTTTATCACTGCACAGAATCTTTTTTCTGTAAAAAGCCCCTTCTCCTCTGCTTTTTCCACCCACTTGATTTGAGGCACACCAGGGAAACATTTACTTTATGTTTACTGGTTCAATAGTTTTAAATTTAGCAATGGAGAGATTAGTTACAGACTGAAAGGTTTACAAAGTCATGCTTTAGTTCTGTGGCTACTCTCCCTAGAAGTGGGTGTCCAGCTAAGATGACTCAAAAAGCACAAAGCAGAATGATCAATAACTCAACAAAGAACATCAGAGGCTAAAGGCTCAAATGAATCATTGGAGCTGGTTAAGATCTCTGTTCATGAGTCGACCACACACACATTATGAAGTATGGTGTCCATGGCAGGAAGCTGCTGCTCTCCAGAAAACATCACATACATGCCTGAAGTTTAAAACGAATGTTTTATGGCCTGATGAAACTTGTTTGGGAAAAACATACAGCACTATGTGTGGTGTAGACAGGCACTGCATATCAGAATGAAAACACTATCCCAAAGGTGGAGTACGGTGCAGGGAGAATCCTGATTTGGGTCTTTGCTGCTTCTGGTCCTGGACAGCTCCACATCACCAAGGAGAAAATGAATTCTCAAGTTAATCAAGGTCTCCTCCAGGACAAAGTCAGGGTGTGTGTCCACCTGAACATGAAGCTCAGGAGAAGCTGCAGCAGGACAATGACCCTAAACATTGAAGTAAATCTACAGAATGACTTCAGACAAAGACAATCCACCTGTTGGAGTCAGAGCCCAGACGTTAATCCAATAGAGTTACTATGGAATAAGGCTGCACAATTAATTGAAAAACTGATCCAACTGAAAATGTGAGTTATAGCACATTTGCAATATCTGCCAAAATAATCACAATATGATTTTTTTTGCCTATTGTGCAGCCCTACTGTAGAATGACCTGAAGAGACATCCTGAGAATCTGAAGCAGTTCTTTAAAGAGGAATGGTCCAAACTTCCTCCTGAACATTGAGCAGGTCTGATCAGCAGCTACTGGAAAAGCTTGTTTGAGGTTGTTGCTGCCAAAGGAGGTTTGACCAGTTATTAAATCTAAGGGCTCATTTACTTTTTCAACCATGCATTGTGAAAGTTTAATGGTTGTATCTGTGACCAATCAACCAGGTAACCAGGTAAATCCAAAGGTTTCACATACTTTTTCTGGCCACTGTACATTTAACGTTGAGCACGTTTGATTTTCATGTCAATAACCATCATCTCTGACACGCCCGTCTCAAAGGCACAAAGGAGTAAAACAGAAATCTGATCACTTGAATCTCAGCAGGAAACATGCAGCTGCGTCCAGATAAAAACTTGGTGAGCAGCCAAGCAGTAGACTTCCAGTAACACAGAGTTGTAATGTTATACAGCAGAAGAGATGCTACAAGAGACACTACAGAGACACATGGGAGGGTGGAGGCAGAGATGGACGCTTGGTATTTTGGAGTGCCTGTCTGGATCCCTGCCCAGAACTGAAACATCATTCTCCTAAAAGCTTCCAGTGGCCAGAGGGGATCATTGATCAGCGCTCGCTGCGGGTCTGAGAGCCCTGATTGAGTTACTGTAATGAATAGACGAGAGCAGCCATGACCAGCCTGTAGTTGTGAAACTAAATTATTACTCACAAGCTGGACATGAAATAGCAGGAAATGTATGGGCCACAAGTGTTAAGTAGAGTCAGCATGCAGAATGCAGAAGTCTGAGACGCTCACACCTCTCATGCTTCACTGATAAGAATGTTTCATATCAGGCTTTGATGGCTTTTAGCTCAGTGCTGTTTGCACACTGTTTCTGCCAGTCATGTGTTTACACCTCTTCCCCAAAGTGCCTTCATTCATCAGGCATCAAATGTACACAAACTTCATTAATCAAAGGCGCACATTAAATTAAAGGAATGCAGCGATACAGTGACAGTGTGTTTGCAGTTGTGTTTTCTTTGTGATATCTCACACACCACACTCGAACATGCTCTCAGCCTCCCTCTCTCCTTCTCAGTTCCAGATATCCTGGATTTCCGACACGTCTCATTTAGCTGGTGAGTGGAATTAATAGCTGCGAACCAGTAGCAACCGGGAGTGTGAGGCAAACACTAACTGGATGACACACAAATAAAATCTCCAGTTATGCTGCAGTACACCTGTGTGTCCTCTATAAACACTGCACATGCAACATACTGTATACACTTTATCAATAACTGCACACTGTGTGCTGAATAAGGTTTGGTTTAGACTTTCAACACATGCATTCATATGTATTTAAATAAACTGTATAGAAGTTACGATTCCAAACAGTCGACTGAGAGGCTCAGAGCCTCCTCTCTTCTGATTGGCTCACAGACCTGTTGCTATAGAGCTCCAGAGAGAAGCCTGAGACAAGAGGCGTAAATCTACACTGAGACGGTTTTTGGTTCTTAAAACCACAAATATGTCTTCTTATATCAAATATCGATGATATTTAAATATTCAAATAAAACACAGGGAAAGTGTAAAATTGGGACCTTTCAAATTGGGTTGTACATTTGATCTGTACTGTAGGCCTGTGTCTCTGAGACAAGGGGAGTGATGCTTTTGAAATAGTTACGGGGTAAATTCCTTAAACGACTGCGTACTGGCTGCAGTGCACTGACACCCACCGCACCAGTGTCAGGCTCATGAGCAAAACACCTGACGGTTTACACCTGCCTGCTCCAGTATGGTGTTTTGCTGCAGCAGAGTGAGTCACAAGCGGAGAGAGGGTAAATCAGTGGTTGCGTGGTGCCCTCTTGTGGCTGCAGGTGTAAGTATGTGGTGGTGTCAGTATGATGGGCTCCATCTGCAAACAATAACACAGCACAGTGTAGCATAGTACTACATTTATTGATTGGATCATTTCCACAGGACTTCAAGGACAGTGAGCTTCACTAATCATATAAATGGTGCTACCAAAAATATTGCTGAATGAAAAAGGAATTACTGTAAGACCACAGCGACGCACTTTGAGACAACAAAGACGTAAAAACATTAGAAAGTACATATGCTTTCCCGTGATTCAACAAATCCTATACATCACTTAAAACCAAACATACAGTACAAGTATATCAAAATAGACACAAATATATTATTATAAAACACGTTTCAAACTGCATCCCATTTGGACATATACAATTTCTTATCAAAATAATGTCTTGTTATTCAACACATATAATCTACAAATTCCTCCCCATGTTTGCTGTGCAGTTTTGTCAGAAATCTCCATTAAGGCAACAATAGGACAGCACCACGGATGCAACCACTAGAGTTACAGGTAGGTCGTATCAAAGGCCACAAACACCCTGCTAAAGATGTTACAAATATATTTTCAGAGGAAGACAAACAACTACAGTTTTGGGTCAAAAGTTGCAGGTTATGATCCTCAACGGCCTTCCTGAGCAGCAGTAGGAAACTTGTATAATGATTTATAAGCCTTCAATGATCAGGCCTGGCCTTTAATATTATAAAAACTTAGTTGATGTAATGTAAATAGATTTTTAAATAAGAACAGTATTGTAAATACTTACCACAACAATATATCAGTCTTCAGATCAAAGACTTTCACAGTGACTCTTGCAAAGCCTCCACAAATATTCTTTGCATAGTTAATTGATTTTCTGATAGTAAATGCATAAAAAATGAAATCAGTGTGTAAAAGATGGTATCTAGTCATTATGTGAGCAGAGTCTGTTCGGTTTCTAACAGAACAAAGTGCAACATCTATACACAGATTGTTGCTGTGGCTAACATATATTAACGATCGCCATTAGCCTCACAGAGCGGTTTTCATGCTTTTCTGATGGCACTTGCTACCAAGGTTTCTCGCCTGGTGGTTACAAACGCCTGTTGTTTTTCATAATAGGCTGCCTCATTAATAAAAGTGGGATAGACGGTGCCGGAGCCCTGGTAGTGGATGGTCTTTCCGTCAAACGTTTGGAACATAGGGTCACCGGGGTTCAGCGGCTCCCAGTCGCCGTCCTGAAACAACAACAAGCAATGACCACAGGGAGAGTAACTTGAGTGCGATGCTCAAACTAAAATAATATATTCTCACACCAGCCAAAGATGTCTCATTTCCTGTTTCATAACGACTCAAATCTACAGGTTCAGTGGGTCAGATACATGGTTGAGTGAGCGAAGGCTTATATTCACCTGCAGATTGGGGTGCACCATGGCAATGATGTTTCCGTTGGCATCTCTGGGGTAGTCGATCCTCTCTGAGACCCGGAACACCTCCACCGTACAGGGAGGGAACTCCATGCCTGACAACACAGAAAACAACATCTCCAGTGTTCAAACTACCCACGGAAAAGAAGCACAATTATTTTCCAATAACAAGAGAGGCAAAAAACAAAAAGAAGTTTTAAAAAAAGAAATAAGAATCTTAATCCTTGAACAATAACTCTTCAAAAGAAAAACAAGATTAAACCCTCCGAGTGTGTGAAAGAAGTTTATCCCTGCATTAAAAGAAAACTGCTGGTCACGACCAGACCATGTGAATATTAGTCGCATTTATATCCAGATTTTATACAAAAGCTGCAATAATCTGGAGACGATCTCACCCTCATTAAATCTAGTCCATGAGGATAGATACATTCTGTGTGATGATGTGATGAAAAACATGCTCTTCCAAATCATTTGACAATCAACATCTGAGTTTGAAGACTTCAAAGAAAAGAATACACAAGAGACAATGTAGTAAGAATGAATGTCAGTAAATAACACTGAACGAAAGATGGGAACCTAAACGCTCTTATTCATGGCAGAGTGTAATAACACTAAACATTTAAAACACAGAGCTCTCAGGGGAGATTGGGATTTTTTTTATATGTCCTGAAAGGAGCTGAGCTCTGAAATGTGATGAATATCAGCTTTGGTACTGATACAGCTGCTGCTCCACAGAAACAGACTGGAAGAGCATTAACTTAACGATTATGCACATTTCTGCCACCATGCATGTTGGAGATTCAGTGTTCAGAGGGAGAATTTACTGTCACTTTCTCCAAAACTCAGTGTAGAAAGGAACAACACTACATTCCTTCAGTGACAGGGTGCACACAAGAACACACACACACACACACACACACACACACACACACACACACACACACACACACACACACACACACAAAAACGAGTGCAAAGACAGTAACGTGCAGGTAGTATTAGGTTTAACACAATGAATGAATAGTGCTGTCACATATATAAGGATGTGCCTTGTTTCATTGAAAACAATAAAATGTTGTTGTCAAAAATTTGAAAAAAATATTACAGTACGATAGCAGGACGGAGCCATGCGGTGCCAAAGTGACACAGGAAGTGGCGTGGTGAGCTCGGACGTTAAGAAAGTAGATGCTCAACTGAGCTTGTAAAAGTAAAAGCGCGGAGCTGTATTGATATGCAGGAGGCAGCACAGGGTAAAACGGACAAATGTTGTGACAGTCACCACAGTTTTCCCACTGAATGTATATGAAGGTTGTTCTTCAGAGGGAGACATTTTGAGCTGCAACAACGTCTGTTGTTGCTAAATGAGTCGTTTCTTCTTCGCGCTGCTCGGCTTCAGAACGCAGGAACACCGATTCATCACCGTGCCAGAGCATTCATCAGCACCAGTGTGGCCCCACGACAGAAGATTACAACAGCATTGGCAGCCAGACTCTAACGACATGGAAACTGACCAACTCCCAACAAGCAGGCCATTCAACAGCAGGCCAGTCAGGGAAAACCAACAGACTGCAACTCACACTTGGCACACACTGCTTGTTTACGTAAAAAGGGGAAGGAAAAGCTGCTTGCACCTCATCACTGCAAACATCGTTCCCTGCCTTAGGGAGCAGAGCGGAGGCGTGATGAGCCAGATGCAGATAAATTTAGAGATGTGAGTGTGTGTACATCTGGATGAATCAGACGAGCACCCATAGACACAAAATGCTTCTTGTCACAATGACGCGGAAATGCAGGCAGACTGACTGCAAACAACTGATTTTCTTATTACATAACACATTACGAATCATAATATTAGTCATCCATAGGTGAAAATTCTAGAGAAACAAGTTTAATACTTTAAAATTTCATGCAAACTTTAAGAACAACGAGCTTCAGTTTCAACTGCTTTGACATAATCCTGTAGAACCCTACGACTCTGAACGCTACACACTGCTGTACCTGTGGTATGTTACAGTTTCAGGCTTTAAGCTGCTGTGGTGCGTCTGTCCTACCTTCATTAAACAGTTCGATGAAGTCCAGGGCGTGTTTCAGTATCACCCTCATAGCTTCAAAGATGTTGCTCCTCAGTACACCCTGAGGCTGAGGACCCACTTCCAGACCTGCAGTCAGACAACCAGAGGACATATTTACACACGTAAAACTATATTCTACCAACTGAATGCAGGAATCAGGAATGTCTTTAATGTCACATTCTGTGTCCACTGTCCAGGTCCACTGCCCCCCCCCCATCCAGAGTCAGATGGTGATAGGTAGTTGGCTCATTTTATATCATGGACAAATTACTGAATGGGCCCGGCAGCATCTGTATGAAGCGTGGTGAACTCTTCTTGTTGGAAAGGCGATCAAACAAGTACAAAGAGATGCAAGAGGACGGCGAACACACAAAACAATTAACACAAAGATGAAAATTTATAAATAAATGTTTTGTTATAATCTGTGCATGTCTGACAATAGCAGCTATTTGTATTTCTTATTTGTATTTTTGAATATTTAAAATGGTTTATCTGCCATTTGTTCATTAAAGTGAATAACAATGTAACTATTAATAATGTACAGTTCATTATTAATAACAATAATAATAATAATAGACTTTATTTATAGAGCACTTTTCATACAAGAGATGTAGCTCAAAGTGCTTAACAATAAAGAATCAAATAGAACAGTAAAATAAAGGTGAATTGATGGACAATGAAAATCAATAATTCAAAGACAGTAGATGATAAAATATGTAAATGAAAATAAAAACAGAAACAAGTAAGAACAGTGAAATATTAGTGCCAACTTTGGTTGACTCATGGCACATATTCATTCATTTTATAAATGTCCTAGTTGACCCCGACCCCTCCCCCCCCTCAGTCAATTCTAACCCCGCCCCTGCCGGTGTCCCTGGACACGTTTGGCTGGACTTACCCACAGGGTGCTTGGCCACAGAGCGTGAAGTGGAATATTTCAGAAGAGGGTGTTCATTCAGCAGAACAAGACAACTGGCCGGAGCGATGGCTTTCTGTAACACAAGAGCAACAAGAACAAGATCTCAGCGGCAGATTGAAACACACCTTCACACAGTCACATGCTGCACACCAGCCAAAGTGTCTCGGACAGACCGAGCTGTGAGCGACTGCTTCAAGGTTCTGCTCGACAGAACGGAAAATTAAATCTGCAACAGCTCACTTCAGAACAAATATGACACACACTCAATGACAAACACAAACACAGTGACCATGTGCATGAATCAGCTGCATGTCGGTGGACTCTCAGAGCGGCCAATGGGAAACCAGAAAATACATCTTTATTCACACAAGTCATTTTGTGCACCGACTGTGATTTATCAGGAGACTCGCTGCCACCACGGTGGATAAAAACGTCCAACTGTGTTAAAGTTGTAAACGGTTTGAGTCAGATTAGATTTGAAGGATATTTTCCCACTTGATTCTCCACACGGCTGTTCATGAAACAAGTCCAGAAATCCTTCCTGAGAGTTTCTGAACAGAAGAATGATTGTCGACAAAGTCTGTGAGAGAACTCAAAGTTCACTTTGTTATCGAACACGGCGCCAAGAAACGAGTCATTAAACAACTGATGCTCGGTAATAGTACAATAGGTTGGTAAGTGGGTGATTTCTCAAGTCGACCTCCTATCTGTGTGTCTGTGTGTGCAGCACTTTGTGTTTCTAAAAGTTGTGAACACAGTTCTCATGAGCTGTGTTGCTCACAGTAACAAAGAGAGTGTTGCCTTTGGCTCCTCTTTTGTTCCCTGGTGTTTCTCTGCTTCCCTTTGTTTTAAGTTGAAGAGCAAGAAATGGAACAAGAGCCAGAAACAGACTTAGTACAACATATTCAATCTATAATAATACATAAGATAAGAAGATAAGTAATTATACTAATTTATCAAACCAAATATTATGTATGTTTATTGTCATTGAAATAGAGGCTCTTATAATAATGACACCTTTTATGATTGTGCACAAAACAGACCAAAGTTCATCATGAGTTTTGTGGCTAAAAGCAGAAAATGGAGGGCAGCGTGCGTCCCTCTGGCGTGTTTGGATGGTTGATCCTTTAAATGAGCTCGTCCAACACGTAAAGGTGAACAGATCATTCTGTCATTTACACAGGTTAACTCAATCTCTCCAGAGAGACCTCGTTTTAGGAAAACATTGACTCGGACAGAAGCGAGAGGAAACTGGAGACCCAGAGAGCTGTCTTTGATTCTGTGAAGTTGTCCTCAAACTAAAGTGTCTTGACGTCCTGCATACTGTGCTGTGTATAAATTATCTGCAGCAACACATGTTATTTATATTTTCACTGACATCTGGTGATAAATTTCACCTTTCATTTTGTCTATTTTACAAAAGTGACAGCAGGGTCTCAGGACAGCTGGTGTTGCAGGTTGACTGCTGCAGCGCGCGAGTGTGTTTGTGTCGTAACGTTTAACAACTCCTACATCCTCCAGGCTGTCACCTTGATGTAGTTCATCATCTGCAGATTGAAGTGGTCTTTGGAGCTTTCCAGAATCAGAGTGCAGCCCATGTTGGACGTCGTGTTGTGGAGGTCAAAGATCACATCGTAGGCCTCTGGGCTTCCTTTAGGTCCGAATATCCTGTTGATCTCCTGGGCTCTCTGAACCTCGTAGGGCAAGCCATCTCCACCCGGGGCACTGCAGGGCACACGCACACGCACACGCACACGCACACGCACAGCATTAGAAAGCATCTTATCAGACAATTCAGCCGCAGGAAGAATGATGAAGAAAGCTTAGAAGCGTGTTAATGATTTACACAGCGGCGTCTACGTGTCCTACAGGCTCTGTGACACTTTCACTTAACTGTTGAACCACAGTGGAAAAATCTGTGTGAGCAACAACCTCCAAGTTAACACAGTAACTGTGGGGAATGTATGGTTCCTCTTTCTCATGTGAACAACAGGAAAACATTAATAACTGCTAATGACCTGTAGATTATTACCATGGTACAACCTCATTTCTAATGGTAGAAAGTCACAGTAGCCATTAACTCTATGCAGGAAAACCAGGACATTGGCCTCCTTTTGTGAGTGTTAAGAAGAAAATTTAATCTGCTTTCTTCATCCATGCATGTCTGCACAAGGGATCCTTGAGAACTTTGTTTTGTCCCCAGGCTAAACTTGCTTTTTTTTTTTCATTGTCTGCACTATGAGCAGAGAATGAGAGCTGCCCCTTTTTTCTCTTAGCTCTTTCAAAGCAGTTCAAAATAACCACTAGTCCAGGACATTCTCCAAGCTACTGTAGAATAGTACCTCTGCTGCACATATTGTCTCGCCTCCCTCACATCTGCTCTTTAGTCCCCATTTTCAGCAAATATCTGCCATTGTCTGGACATCAGTACACAAGCATAGTGTGAGCTGCAGCTGATGACGTGGACTCCAAAATACTCACTTCAACTGGGAGGACACACAGACACTAAATAAGAGGAAGAGCTGTCTGCCTGTTTAAGTTGAAGAAAAGGACACAGCAGGCTGTTTTTAGAAAGACTCTCCATGTGGTTAATCTTCTTATATGTTGCCTTCACAGAGGCCAAGCAGTTTGTCAGCTTCAGCTGCTGAGAAGATCCATAAAGGTCATTAAACACTTGCACCACGAGGCAGTGACAGAATAACTTCAGCCACGTCATCCAAACTCTCTCAACCATTTCACTCAAATACAGCATTTAAACCCTGTAATAATAACACTACACTGTCACCGTCACTTCTGTTTCTAAAATACTCCATCACTCAAAATTATACTTCAGTAAAAATATAGAACCATTAGAAACACAAGTATTACTCATTATACAGACGACCCCCTCAGGATTATATTATTATGTAACTGGATCATTGTTATTGATGTAATTAGAACTAAATGGTGTAATTGGTCAATGTGGTGCCATTTACAGTTACAGCACAATTTACAGCTTTTATCTTTAATAAGTAAACAAGTAAATAAGTAAATAAGTAAACTGAGTTTTTAGAATCTTAAACTGGAAAGTAACAGGATTATCAATGTTACCAGAGTAAAAAAGGCTAAGATTAAATCTAAATCTATAAATGTTGTGGCACACACACACACACACACACACACACACACACACACACACACACACACACACACACTACAATAACCTTGGGAATGTTAATACAGGGTGATGATTTATGAATAGGGGGAGACTGTGTTGTTATCCAACCACATTAGTAAATAGGCTGTTGTGTGAGTTCATGCGCACTGAATATATGAGCCAGCGTTTGCGTAAGAGCTCATTTCCACTATAGAGCTCACCAAATAGAAGGAATAAAAAAAAAATCGTCTTAGATCATTTGCAGCTCGGTCACGTTCCGCTCACGTTTTTCCTGCTGGCTGACAGTCAGCTGAAGTCCGGGAGGAGGGGACACACTGCTCTGCTGTATTGGCAGAGGGGCGGGGGTGGGGGTAACAAAGAGGGGTGGGGGGTGGGGGGGTATGGCTGATGGTAAACACACACTACCCTACCTGTGATAATAACAGAGGCTGTTTACTGTCTGAATATCTAGACCAAAGTCCTGATTTACGAGATTACCCGCTGCCTGCGGTTCAGCGTGATACGACCTTTCTTTACGTTTCTCTCCCTTCACACCGTGTTGTTTTCTGCTCCATTGTGTAAACCACATGTTGTCCAAACAGGAGACCCTCTGATATTTCCACACACACGGTGTCAAATGTGTCAATAACGTTACATAAATTGTCACGACATTTCCAACATATTTCCACCAGCTGTGACACAGACCACCTGAACGAGACTCCAGCTGGTCACCAGGGCAACAATCCATTTGATATCAATCATTTCATTCCCAAAAACATCAGCCACAATAATAAAATGTAGCTACATAAATAACACTATCCAGTGTGGGTATGCACGTGCGCCCCCCCCCCACCACCCCCACCACCACCACACCACACCACACCACACACGCACACACACACACACGCTAAGACTGAGCTCAAAACCAAAACAGTAAAAGCAAATGAGAGTCTGTTGTTAATGTGAGTCTGTTTTATGGATCCGCTACATGAAAAAGTTTCCATTCAACATATGTGACGGCAGGTACAAACAACAACAACTACAGCGACAACAACAACAACAACAGCAGCAGCTACACCGTGTCCGTGTTTACCTGAGGTTCTCCGGGGTGAAGGCTCGGTTCAGGTCCGTGTCCACATATCTGGTGCACTTCTCCACAGCCTTCGGGTTGGTGATGAAGGGTTTGGTCTCGACCCTCTTCCTCTGTACCTCGGCGCTGTTCTTCATCCACAGGTTCACGAGCGTCACGCCTGACATCTCGTTCCCGTGCGTGCCACCGAAAATAGCGACCCTCGTGGCCTCGCTGAAACACGCGCTGTTGTTGTAGGAGGACATGTCTGGATGGTGGAGACAGGTGTGCAGAGAGCGGGTGGAGACACGCTGGTGTCGGACTGAGGCTTCAGCAGCAGAGGAAAAGTTTTCTCGCTGGAGCTCCACAGACTCTGTTTAAATGCCTGCTGTGGCTGCGCGCTTACGTAACGTGCCCGCTGGCTTGTTGTGGTCAGTCACCGTGCGTAAAATGCGCTGAGTTGTGCACGACATCTCGAGCTGGAGCCCAAACTCTAGTTAACAAGGTTCCTCCCATTGTTTACCTATCACCGTCAAACCCACGCGGATTATTTACTACTCGTTTCCGGCGGAGATCTTCCAAAATAAACTGTATTCAAACATTCTTGCCTTTTTATAGTATTTACAGCTGGTCTACTAAAGCTAGAAATGAGGGGGTACATCACTTCCGGTTATTACCTTCAAAATAAAACGGCGTGCGGTTCTTTTTCCATAATGTCAATTTCTCGGCATGTAAAGCTCCATAATCCTGTGTTGTGCTGCGGTTTAGGAGTATAGCTGTAACAAAACATATCACGATAACCATATTATCATGATATTTACAGAAATGTTTTTTTAAAAATCAATACTATCAGTAAAACTCGTATTAAATTGAGTTTATTGTGTAGTTTGTCTGTTTTGTGGCAAATGAATTAGACTCAGGAGTGCAGAGAGGGTCTGTGATCAGAACAGTACAAAAGTGAACAAAAAGTAAAACTACAAGTAATGGACTGTGAAAAGGAAAAGGCCAAACATCCGAGACCCTGTATAATCATTTGTGTATCATTAACACAATATCAATTATCACAGTTATCATGATTACCAGTATATCACCTACTTAGGACTAAAACAAACTGTCGCTGAAGCATAAATAACAAATAACCAACAATACAACTGTTCCTAGAGGTTGTAGGATTTATTACATTCATGGCGTTCACAGTACAGGAACACAAGTAGAAAAGTCAGATGATGTTAAACCTTGATGCATCTAAATATATAATGTACAATATAAATATAACATTAAGCACATTTGCTTGTCAAAAGTGTACCGTGCCTGTAAGACACAGATCACAAGTTAAACACCAGTTAATAAAAGTGTTTTACCAACAGCAGTGGAACAGCGTCACCTGCTGACCTCACACGTAGTTCTCACCTCAGATGAAGCCTGCGAACAGGTGTGAACAGTTTGAGTGAACAGGTTCCTGCAGCAGTAAAGAAAGCTGAAGTTCCCAAGCACCATTAACTTCTGTTAGCAGCAGTTGGTTTGTACGACAGTGCTATGTCTCATAAATCAACACGGGACTTTTTCCTGACTTTGAATTATCAAATAAAAATGTCTCTCATTTCTAAAAAGGTACAGAAGCACGCTCAAAACAAAACAAGGACCAGGAAAAATTAGTCTGTTCTTACTGAGAGCAACAAAACATTGTTAAAATAATAAAATAAATAAATAAATAAAGCCTTTTCTCTCACATGCCCATTAGTTGTCAGGCTACGTGTTCAGATTGTTGAATTCAAAACATAAAAAACAGATTCAGGTTTTCTCTGAGATTTTGTCCAGAAACAGAGGGATTATAAATGTTTTATATAATTTGATTTATTTACGAACTGTTTTCCTCCTCATACTGTAACACTCCCACTGTTTTTATTCAACTTTCATTTTCGGTAAAAAGTAAAAAGAAAAAGTATCTCTATATTTGATTTTAGCACGTTGTTATTTCTCCAGAGTTCATCTCAACTCCACAAAGGTCGAGAGCCGTGTTGGTACAAATGCTTTGATACAAAACAAAGCGGTTGTGAAAGCCTCACGGCTTCATGGTCAACGTTTTAACTCTCTTAAAAACATCAGCTTCATGTCGTTTGTAGCTGCTGCAGTTGTTTCACGTGTTTCCGTCGTTGGGGAGAATTTCTCTCCACTGGTCAAACTCCCAACAACAAGTTCACACTAATAATCAGAGAAGAATTCTTCACTTGGGTTATGAAGTCTCCTCTTGGCCTTTTTGGGTTTGTTTTTTCTGCTGCAGTCTGAGGAGGACACCTCAGACTGTGACAACACAGGGCTGCTGGACATGAAGCTGGGGACACTTGTCTTATTTCTTTCCTTCTTTTTGGATTTATGTGTCTCTATTTCTACAGATTCAGTTGACAGTTTCCTCTCGAGCAAAACATTATCAGTGGATTTTCCTTTTTTCTTCTTTTTCTTTTCCCTCACATGATTTAATTCTGGATTTCCAGGTGTTTCTGAAGATGGGGAAGCAGGTTCAGCCATGTTCAGTGTTTCCTTGGACGTTTTGTCAGAGGTACCACCATCATGAGACATTTCAGCGCTGTCACCATCTATTTCCTTTGTGACTAAAGCAGAAGTCGAGTGTTTGCCTTTTCTCTTGTGCGAAACTGAGCTACAGTTTTTCAGCGTAGCTTCCTCTGATTCAGCATCGTCAGTGGCAGCTGGTGGACTCTCCTGTGTCTTCTCCTTCTTCTTCTTCTTCTTCTTCAACACCGTGGCCTAATCAGCTGCAGGACATCCCGCTTCAGCTGCACTGTCTAATCTTTCCATGGGGGTCACTGACTCACTTTCATTTCTCCTTCGTTTCTTTTTTCTTTTTACCCCCGTGTTGGTGTTTTCAGGCAAAGCGCTCTCACATGTTTCGTTTGGTTCTTTAACATCCTGCCTGTGACCTTCCTCAACATTCTCCTGCACCATCGACATCTTTCTCTTCCTTTTCTTTTTCCTCACCCCATCATTAGATGTCTCCAAGTTTCCAGCGATTTCTGCTGATTCGGTCTGAAACTCACCAGCGCTGACTCCAGGCCTTTCTGCGTCCCAGACATGAGCAGCTACAGATGTTTGTTCCTCATGCGTTTCAGCCTCTTTTTCCTCTGCATCAGCAGCGAGGAAGGAAGAGGTCCTCTTCTTTTCCTTTTTCCGCACAGACACTGAATCATCGCTTTGTGTCGCAGCATCTTCTGAGACATTTCTGCTAATCATTTCATTCTTTTTCTTAGACCCCAGTTCAGTGTCTTGGTCGTCAGGGCCCTCGTCTGTTTTCTGACAATTTCCTGCATTATTCAATTTTTTGTTTTTGTCAGGGGTGCTAGAAATATCTTCTCCCTCACAGATACTTTCCCTCCTCTTCTTCTTCGTCTTCTTCACTGACTGTCCTGTACTTCCTTCCAAGGTTACATCATTATTCGAGCTCAGATCTGTACCACCGTCTGCTCCGACCTCAGCTTCCTCGTGAGAAGCCAACAGCTGCTTCTTTTTCTGCTTTTTTCTTTTCTTTTCTAATGTTTCTCGAGGAACATCACTATTTTCCTTTTCCTCCAACTGTCTCTCTGACGACAGAGGTCGATCTGAAGTCAGTGCTTCCTCTTCTTCATCTTCCTCCATATTTACAGTCAGCTTTTCTTTTTTCCTTTTTTTCTTTTTCCTCCCCGTCTCTGCATCTTCATTCAGAGGTATTAACTGCTCAACGCCCTCATCATCCTCAACACTTCTTTCCCTCTTTTTCTTCTTCTCTTCCTTGCCGTCATTCACCATGTTACATGTCACTGAAAACAGAGAATCATTCTCCGATCTCACATCAGATTTTAAGTTTCCATCCTCCTCCTCTCTAATGTTATCTGCTGCCTTCTTCTTTTTTCTCTTCTTCTTCATCCGTTTTGAACCAGGACTGAGTCTCTCCTCCTGTCTCGGTATGATATCATCATGTGAGGGATTTTCTTCACTTAGCTGCGTCTCGTCGCTGGTCTGCGGGGCCGGAGGCTCTGCTGGATGATCCTCAGACGGGCTGGGAGTCTCTTCCTCCTCCACATTCACAGAGGCTGCAGCGTGCAGACCCTCAGGCTCTTCATGACTCTGGCCCCTTCCTCCTTCTACACTGTCATCATCTCCCTTTGCTTTTTTCTTGTTCTTTACTCTGGTTTTATCATTATTAGTGTCACTTATAAGGTCTGGGAGACTCTGGAGAAGACTTTGGCTTTCAGGTTCGTCTTCTTCCTGTCCTGTCTCCGACAGACTGTCCGTATGGAAAACATCAGCTGGAGGCTCTGTTACATTTGGACTCGGTTCTCTGCCATTTAGTGTGTATTCCCTCGGACTTCCCCATTCGAGCGCCTCACACATTGTAGCATCACTGTCGCCACACAGCTCTTCCTCACTTTCTTTTTCCTGAGGAAGAATCTCTTTGTTTCCTCCGGTAAGACGAGTCTTTGTCGTTGGCGTTTTGGTGTGGGCTGCAATGCTTCTGTCACATGTCATGTGTTTATCACTCGTCTCTCTCTCCATCAGAACTCTATGAGAAGGATCCCCGTTATCAGAGCTCTCTGTGTCTGAAGATGGTGCTGTAACCCTGGACGTGGACCTTTTCGCTGGTATTTTATGCAACTTTTTCCTTTGTCTATCTTGTGACCTTCCTTCTTGTCGAGCTCTTTGTGAGCTTCTTTGTCGTTTCACCTCGAAGTCTCTCTTCCCTGGAGTGTACCAGGGCTGAGAGCACTTTGATTTTGAAGGTGCAACAAAACATTTCCTCTCCTGTAAGATAACACACACACACACACACACACACACACACACACACACACACACACACACACACACAATAAGTCCACATACAAAAACAGCTTTGAGATCTATTCATTTTTCTTAATTTTAATATAACACTTACCACGACTTTGATGTCCTCACTTTCTGAACTTTCTTCTTCTCTGTAACAAAATAGATGCGTTTTATTACCAATCAATCAATCAATCAATCATTATTTGTACAGAATCTCATATGCAGGTTAGTACAATTCAAAGAGCTTTGCAGGTGACTGCTAAAACAGCTCAGTCCAAACATATGAGATTAATGCACATTAAAAATAAACATGATCAAAATGTGATAAAACTAATGAAATAGATAATAGATCATAAAAAAGATAAAAAGACAAAACAACAAAAAAGTATAAGACAGAGCAAAACATTTCAAAACATAAATACAATAAATAAATAAAGGAAATTCTGAAATAATGGCTGTAAATATAATAAAGAGCCAGGCTGAAGAGGTGGCTTTCAAGTTTAAAGACATCATCACTGAGCTTTGATCAGATCTTTGGTCAGACTGAGACTAAAAGCTGCCTCATCTGTTTTTTCATCGTGATACTTGGAACAATTAAAGGACCAGAGATTCGTCCTGGTTCGACAGCCTGTCAGACAAGACAATGACGTGATTTAAAGACAAGGCCACAAATGAAGACTTTAAAAACTGGTGTGATGTGTTCTCTCCCTCTGGTCCTGGTCAGTAATCAGGCGGCACACTTCCGATTCACGTAGCTGGTTTATAACTCGTCTTGGAGGCAGACAGGAGACAGTCAGGAGAGTTACAATGATCCAGTCTGCTGGATATAGGACCATCCAGGTTCATCACTTTTTTAAAGTTATTTTTTGCCTGTGTGTGTGTGTGTGTGTGTTTCTGGAGTTGTTTATGTTTTGTCTATTTGAATGTGTTTTGAGCTCTCGGGGCCACCGTAGATAAGAGATTCATCAATAGCTAGTGGTGGAGGTGGTGTGGATGGATTTTTCAAACACATAATTATCCCTGGAAATAAACTCACTCTGACAACGGAGGTATGTTCTCCCCGTCCATGTCGACTGTTGGTAAAGATGACTGCACGTCATCTCCTCCCTGGTAGCTCTGCCACAGCTCTCTGACACATCTGAGGAAGCCACCCATCGCATAATTCTGTAAAGAGGAAGATTGATATATATATATATATATATATTATACATATATAATATCTATTGAAGTACTGTTGTCCTTACGTGCAGGGCTGCGCTCTGCCTTGCAGATAACTGAGTGCTCATGGGCTTTGACTTCCTGTCAGTGAGGAAAGGGAAACTGAACTTGGGAGGTCTTATTCTCTTCGCTTGTCTCCTTTTGGCAGCTCTGGATTCTTCGTGGGAGTCGGAGGATGAAGTGTCATCTCCACTTTCTTCTAGATCTCTGGCAGGTGATGAGTCTGACTTCAGATTGTAGCGACACCGTCTCTGTGACCTCACAGCCTCAGGTATTGGTTTCTGAGTGATGAACAGACTGTCTCCTGAATCACTGCAGAGACACAGTTACACGTGCAGGAGGTCAGACTGGAGCGTCCTCATGCTGCTGCAGGAGGAGCAGGAGCATCACCGATCACATATGAGAGGCATCCTTACCTTTCTTCTTCAGCTGGGTCATTAGGTCCTGCATCCTGTCCGCCATGTCCCACCGAAGACTCGAGATACCGCGATATTTTCTCCACATAGTCTGGGGGAGATGTTTCCAGAACAATGTGGCACGACTCCGCTGAAAGAGCTTCAACAATGGCGTCTGTCTGAGTCCATTGTAGAGGTTTATGCACTCCGGTCATTGTGGAGCTCAGCAACAGGTCTTTGGTAGGAAGCCGTAGGAGACTGAATCCTCCTGGTTCCTCCAACGAGGAAGAGACTCGAGACGCGTGTGGTCGGTCTAACTGAAGCTCTGCAGCTGAAACATGATGTTAAAATGAACCAAACACTTTCTTTAATGTCGCGCAGCTGCGCTACAACAAACACATACAACAACACACACCACACGAGTGTTTTCAGCACAACCAGGAAGTGAATATACGTCAGCAACGTGACAATTCATCATATGACCAATCACCAAAGAGGAGGTAAAGTCATACACAGGAACAAGAGTTTCACTCCTTTCTACTTCCGCTTTCGTCTGCACCGATTCCCACAATAAATTCAAGTTGTTAAAAACCAGTGAACGTGACATAAGCGCGTAATTAGAATCAGACAGATGAGGAAGACCGTGAGATGAAAGCTCCAGAATGACCTTTAGTAGAAATTGAAACAATTAGGTTGTTGAAATTAAAATAATACTTAAAATAATTGGACGGTATGAATTTATAAGTTAAATATATAAATTGATATAAATATCACCTATAAGAAATATATAACTTGTTTATATTATACAACTGACTTATTACAATATTACTCATGAACAAAATACATATACTTTGTTTTATCTATGTTTTAACCATTATTATTATTATTATTATTATTATTATTATTAATAAGCATGAACTACTGGACACCTCTATCTATCTATCTATCTATCTATCTATCTATCTATCTATCTATCTATCTATCTATCTATCTATCTATCTATTTTACTGGTAATGCATAGACGAGGAAAAAAAACTATCTAGGACAGGAACTATCTTGCTAGTGTTTACTCTTTGGTTAAACTTTAACCAAACAGTAAATGTGCCCGCTCCAACCATCGACTTTTCCTGCAGTGCTAGCAGTTTACAGGCAGAGTCACCCAGGACAGCAGTAACCTACAGTCATGGCAGACATCAGTAAAACTGTGAGGGTCGAGCTGCACGCCCCAGATCTCGAGGAGCTGCGCGGAGGTAAGAGCTTCAGCTGTGATAAAGATGCTTATAAAAGAGGATGTTCACAAAGGGAGAGTAATCCAGATATTTTGGCTGGTTACAGTATTACAAGCAGGACTGGAGGACAACTTTGCAGAAGTTCAGGTGAGTGTTGTGGAGTGTCCAGATCTCACCAAAGAACCGTTCCAGTTTCCTGTCAAAGGTAAGAGCCCACTCTGCACATTCAATCATATTCCACTGTCTGCACTGTTTCCACATTGTCTCAAACCTGTGCACAGTATTCATCTACATCTCAGAAACCATTCATGCACGCTCGTGAACTTACTTTGCAGATTGTGGAGTGAAACAGAGTCGTGCCAGATTTGTGTTGCGTAATGTTTTTTCTCTTACTGTCACTCACACTAAAGGCCTGTGTGGAAGTCCTCGTATCACTGATGTTGGTGGTGTACCGTACCTGGTTCCCGTGGTTCAAAAGCACAAGGTAGCTTTTTTCTCACCACACTCAGAGCAGTGTGTGAGGATGCTGCATGGTGATAATGTGAAATGAGTCAGAGTAAATGGGATTGTTATATTGGTTTCCCTCTTCCTCCTCCCAGGAATACAACATGAACACTATATCTAAAGAGCTGGAGCTACCGGGAGCTTTCATCCTGGGTGCAGCAGCTGCTCCCTCCAGGATCGTCGGGATGAATGCAGAGGTTGTTCAATACTTAATGTCTCATGCAGATTAAAGCAACATGTTGGCATCAATAAATCGGTGGATTTCCCTTCAGTAAAGTATCATGTTGTCATTGTAAGATTTGAGAACAGTTGTTGTGATGCATGAGCTGATGGAGAAAATACTCTCACCCACAGCTGATGCCTCTGGTCCTGACAGAAGCGGAGGGAAGGCCTGCAGTGAACAGCAGTTACTTCTCCTCCATCAATCCGGCTGATGGTCAGTGTCTCCAGGAAAAATACAGTGACAGATTCTCTGACTGCAACTTTGGGCTGCTGGGAAATCTGTATGCTTGTGAAGGGAAGTCTGGAAAGGTAATTGGTCTTATCTGACCAAACAAGATCTGGAAGCTCTTTGCCTCAGAGAATGAGTGATGGTGCTTTCACCGGCGCTCCTTCAAAAATGCATTGTCATTACTGGCCAATAATGAACTTCCCTGGTTGTTTATGAACTTCAACACAATTATCTGCAAATTAATAACAAAGTTGTTGTGCGTGACCCATGACCACATGTGTGCTCCTAACGTTTGAAAGAATAAACATTAACAAAAGGACGGTGACTATACTAGCTCACTCACTGTGTCCTCGTCACCCATGTCCCTCTCCAGGTCATAGAGGTGCGAGCCAAGAAGAGGACAGGAGGCCACAGTCTGGTGACGGCCCTGAGGAAGACTCTCGAAGGGCGCTACCCTGAGAAGAGCCTGGCTCTGGGAGGCACCTTTGTCATACAGAAAGGGAAAGCTAAAATCCACATCATGGTAAATAAACACGTGAATTTCCCAGAGCGGATAAAGTAAAGTATCTATCTATCTATCTATCTATCTATCTATCTATCTATCTATCTATCTATCTATCTATCGATCTATGTAGTTACTGACAGTTACATGTGTTGATTGATTTTCTGGTGTTGGCTCATCGATAGCCAAGAGAGTTCTCGGTCTGCCCCCTCAACACCAACGATGAGGTCAACAACTGGCTCAAGCACTTTGAGGTCAGCGCTCCGCTCATCTGCCAGTCAGTGCTCGTGTCCAGAGATCCCGTAAGTAAACAAACGGATCTATCAGAGGTGCATTTGCAAAGTGGGCTGTCTTGTAAAGGTTCTGGTCACTTGTTCGCTGTGTGTTCAGGGTTTGGACCTGCGGGTGGAGCACACCCACTGCTTCAGCCACCACGGAGAAGGTGGCCACTACTACATAGACACCACTCCTGACAGTGTGGAGTACTTGGGCTACTTCATGCCGGCAGAGTTTGTCTACCGCATCGACAGGCCCAAAGAGACGCACGGAGTGGGACGAGACTGAAAAACTGAATGAATTCATCAATCATGTTGTCAGCATAGTATCAAATCCATCAAACAGTATGGGATTTATAATAGGTTCTATATATTATAATACCCCACAAGTGATTTCAATTAAACAAATTTATTAGTCAGAATTACTTGTGAAGTTTCCTCTTAAATCACATCTCTCTCAGAGATTTTCTTATAAACACAATCACTGCAGTTCATGAAATAAAAACATCAAAAGTGTTTTGTGTTGTCTTGGCTGTTTGTTCACTGACTGCAGAAGTAAATGGCAACATGTGTTTCCTCTAAATAAATAGTAAATTTGGGACATTGAAATACACAGTTGCCTGCCAACTCCATCTTGATAAAAACATTGTATAAGGCAGACCAAACCAGACAGCTGCAGTAACATCTGTGTTGTCACTGTTTGCACTGGCAGAGAAAACAAAGCATTTTAAGGCCTGATACAGCTGTAGTTGCCCTACACAGGTTTCCTCTTACTTGCATGACCGGGCCTCTTTTTAGGAGGATGGAGGTGTAAACACAATGTGTCTCTGACAGTTGCACTTGTTCTGGTGTGATAGCAGAGGTGGAAGTGGAAACATCTTGCCACTGTCGTCAAGTGTTTGCTCATGGGGGAATGTTGGGCCTTTGTAATAATTTTATAAATTCTTCTGCTCTGATTCAGTGTTACGTGATTAAAATGGGCTCAACATACTGTAGATAACAAAAAACACTGAACTGTGGTGCAGTTATATTAAATATAATTGAGTTAGCAGCAGAAATATAATGACACATTTTGTCATTGTTATGATGAAACTAATTCTGACCTTTTAGATTTTACAGTCATGGTTGGTGAATTATGTCCCAGGATGTAAATTTAAGCAAAACATATACTTTCTTTACATTTTATATATACACTTTATGCACTCAGTTATCAGTTTATTAGGCACACATATTCTTCTACAATAAATCCTCCCTTCAGGAAGGTTATAATGGTCACTTTTTGTTGACTGACTTTCACTGTACTATCAGAATAAAGGCAAAAATGCCCAAAAATATAACTTAAAAAAAAGGAATGGTCACGTATCTATACCATACAATATATGCCGATATAACAACTATATTAAGTACATTTATTGTTGTATGTTTTTGTCAAATTCTAGAAACCACATTGCATTATGTTAAAGACTTTTGTTATCCATTCAGAAATAGCGCCCTCCTCTGACCAAAGCAGGTAACACACCATTTCCCACAATGCTGCTGCCGCACCAGCCCGGAAGTAAGACGTTTATTGACAATATGGCCGTTGAACTGGGCTTGGATTTGGAGAAAATTGTAATTTGACAGCACTCGCCGGGGCTGCGATAACAACCCGTTTCCATCTCAGGAGTGTGAGGGACAGATGCACTTGAATGAAGGGAGCCGTGGATGCACGGGACGGTGTCAGTGAGCTGAGGAAACGTCCACAGAGAGAAACCCGTCATGTCGTTTTTCAAGAGGAAAGGTGAGGAACAAGCTCCCTCTGAAGGCTGCAACGTCAACGGCAGCTAGCCGCTCACAGAGTCCGGCTGAGGAGAGAGCGCTCCCCGACAAGATGTAACTAATGTGGTCAGACTGCGGCCACAAGTAAATTATCCAAGGGCACGGCGGTGTGTGTGTGGAAGTGTGTGTTACTGCTGCCGCGGCTCACGGCTGTGACATGGTTAGCTTAGCGGTGGCCTCTCTATCCTCCCTGCCTTATCTAACCTAATGTTAGCCCGGGCGGTGGTAAATCTACCGCAGGGAACTGTCGGCGGTATTCAGATTACACACACCACTATGAATGTTGATTAAAATAATGCTTCAAACTGTTTAAACCCTCAGTGAGCTCCACTGTCTGTGATAGCCAACACCAGTGTCGCAACTGTGCTATGGCTGCTAGCTAAGCTAGCTTGATCAGGACATTTTCACTCAGCTCTAACGAGCAAGACGTCTGAGAAAAGGTCACAATTATCCGCTGTGCTTGAATTAGAGTCGTTAATTATCGTAAAGAAAACGTGTGTAATCAGCAGTGAGAAACGTTAACCTGTAGGGATGTAGCTAACGATTGGTCAGCATCATCCTGACCAATCATCCAGTGGCAGGACCTGAATGAATTGGACCTGACTTGAAGCAGTATTCGTTATCAACAGCAACATGACCAGGCGTTGCTCCAGGCTAATCTTCACAGCTCAGACTACAAAATAAAAGAATGGTCACTACATGACATAGAAAGTATGTTATAGAAATGAGAAATTGTTCACCAGCTTAATGTATTTTAATTCCTTGATTATTTACTGAGCCGCTGAAACTTAAGTGGGCTGGAGGTACAAAACACATACTGGTTGTTACACTCATTTGCTAGTTTGTGAGGAACACCTAACTAAAATTGATGCAGTGTGATGTAATCATCTATCAACACTTCTCTAAAACAAAACTGTACATTACAGCCTTCATGGAGGTAGGATTTGTTGCAGGGCAGTTGTATTAGACTGCACAAGTTTCAGCAACTAAACTGGCACTGGAGTGTATTTGAATAAGAAGCACCACATTTATATGCAACACCATCATAAGTAGATTACAAGAGGCATTTCCGCTGCTCCAGGTGTCTATCTACTAGTATGTCCAATTGCTGTGATACAGTACACAAATATGATAGGAGAGAATGTAGAGGCAGTGATTGTGAAACGGACTTCAGCTGAAATCTGCTTCTGTTTCAGGAAATAAGGTTACATGTGTACATTTTCAACAGTGACTTTAGTGGTTTTGCTTCCTAGGCTGCAGTGCTCAAAGCAGCTGACACAGCAGGGCTGCAAAATGAGGAAATATTAGAGAGAGTGCTCTTATTATATCTGAACCAAGATGACACGCAGGACAGACTGGAAGAGGGTGTTCCTTGGGATCGATAAGGTTTTAGTAATGCATCCAAAATATTGTTTGTTCTTTATTCCTGAACATCCTTTGCAGCCAACCACCTGATGAATATTTATTTACAACAAAGACATCTGGTGTTATTTGTCCCATGCTTTAGTTCAGCACAGTAGAGGTTGTTGGAGCTTAGATTATTTCAAAGTCACAGCTTTTATCTGTGACAGACAGCTTACCATTGCCAGTCGACTCTGACTCTTGGCTGACACATGTATTCACTAACAGCTCTGTCCAAAATGTCTTCCTGAAAGAGCATCTTCTGCCCAGGCCTCTCAGTCCATTTTGTAATGCCAGTGCTTGAAACTGATACTTGGCCTGGCTGCTTTTTGCAGCAACAGCCTAATCTAAAGATATGAATGGCGAATCACTCTGAGTGCTTACCACCAGCCGCGGAGTTTAGGAGTTGCATCAAATATTTCTAGTGTTGCTTCCGGCCACATATATTATGATGCCATGTACTTGTTCATAAATCAGTGAGTCTCAGACTGACACAATCTGTCTGTAAAATGTCAGGACCCACCAGAACTAATAGACCAAGGTCACAAACGTCAGGAAGGACTCCATGCTGAGGTTCATTATGAAACCCCTCTCAGTTCTGCTTCTGATATTTAATGAGCAGGACTGAGCTTTTACACATCAGAGCACAGCTTCCCTGTTTAACTTCACTGCTGCTTCTCTACTATATCAGTTTCCTCACTACGTCATTATGTAACTAGATGTTTTGTTCTAGTTTTTCCAGTGACACCACACCAACCCCTTTACCTTTTTTTTGTTTCCTCTTGCTCGTCTCGCCCCACATTGTGAATCAAAATGCTGTGTGCTTCTCTAGTTCCAACCCCGCTCTCATCTTTCCTCACACAGCCAAAAGCAAAGAACCTGAGAGAGTGACAGATGCTAAAGTCAACAGAGGTGAGTTCATTATTACTTCTGTGAAGTTATGAAAGTGTCACACAGTGTTGAATCGAAAAAGCTTTGTTTTAAGGACTGATGGTATGACTGTACAAGGGTGTTTAATATCAAATGTTTTTATCAGTGCATCTGTGTGTGATCATATGACTGAGGCTTTTTTTAAGGAAGGAATTCAAATAGCTGTTTTCTTAAGATGGCTCTTACTAAGTTTAATCACTGCTGGTTATATAATCACAAGGACCAAAATTATGACCTCCGGCTGTAAAGTGAAACACATGAAGCTCACAGTCAAACAAACACTGAGCAGTCTGTCGCCTCCAACATGTCACACACCCTGAGGCCTCTGTACATTAACTGTGAGCTCTTTCAGGAGCCGTCACTAAAAGAGCTTTTCATGAAGCCACGCTGACGTTGTACATTCAGGCCACTCAGAGCGTTAATATCATTTTACATTGTACTCAGTTTTTTTTTCCCTCTGTTGCTGTCCTCCAGCTCCAGTCAGCCCTCACTCTCCATCATTAGGACTGAGGAACCACCATGCCATCCAGGAAGCTGCGGGGCCCAGCCATGTGGCCATCAACGCCATCTCTGCCAACATGGACTCCTTCGCCCGCGGTCGCACCGCCATCCTCAAGAAACAGCCGAGTCACATGGAGGCTGCACACTTTGGCGACCTTGGTACAGAGACTGCATTCATGTGTTTGTGTACTGGTTTTTAGTGATAACATATAAAGAACCAACCAAACATTTCAGCATCTAAATGTGAGGTAGATTAATAACTGAAGAAACCATCATCTGGGTTTCTTAACTGATTGTAATCATGCTGTAGTCGTGCTGTTCTGTTTACGTTTAGTATCACCGTTAACAGTTTTTTAGCTTGGATTGGGTTGAACAAAAATCTGGCTGTTGCAGCAGGAAACGCCAAAAGTTAGCATCATAAGCTCCTGTTTAACCTTATGGGAATAATTAGGTTCCTCTTAGTCACGTTTGTTTAGCTACAGTGGGCCTCAGTGTGGCTCTTGCATCACTAAATAGCTTAAACAGCCACCTGTCTTGTGCAAGTGGCGATGTGAAGCACTCATGTGACCTCATACATCAGTTTTGATGAGCAGCTAAAGTTTCCAAAGCCTGTCAGGAGGAAGCGAGCCCTGCAGTCCTCTCCTCTGGTCACATGGTGAAGACACAGCTCCTCCCTTTTATCAGAAGGGCTCTAAAATTAGATTCTGTGTGTGAACGCTGGATGCTATGATACGTAGTGCGGCTGAAATGCTGAATGACAGCAGTGACGGGAACTGAACTGTACGAGCAAGTTGCCCAGAGAATAGCTGGGGTGAATCAGGCAGAGGTGGAAGAACCTGTGCTGCAGCCTGGGCGACAGAGTCTGACTGAAACACACCTGGTGCCAGTGATTTCTGGGCTGTGGTTAGACTGAAGGAAGACAAAGGAAGGAAGTGTAGGAGGACGATTCAAAGAAGGAAACGTTTTATGTGTCACTTCGGCTTTCAGAATGAAGGTGGCCTTGACTGTATCATCTCTAGGAATGCGAAGTGGCTGATTGACAAGCACCTCAGCATGGGTGACACCTCTTGAAGCACTGTCTTGTTTTCAAAGAGCCAACACAACACAACAAAGCCGCCGCCCCCACACTTAAGTCTCACTACAGCTGATGTGCTCTGATTCATAATCCAACAAGTGTCGTGTTTGTAGTCTGTGAGTGCGCTCCCTCACTTATTTTGTTTTCTGGGAGAGTGTGTGTGTGTGTGTGTGTTTGTGCTCGCGCTCCCAGTCCCCCAGGATGGTGGATGATATTCAGACAGAGTCTATTTTTGAGGCATCGTAAAGTCAAATAATACGGCATCCCTACAGGAGTCACTTTTCTTTTTTCCCAGTGTTCAGATGTAGCAGGAGTTTGGGGACCCCGCAGTTCACACACTTCATACACGCACGAAGACGCTGTTGATGTGTGATCCTTAAAAGTTTGTGTGGGTTAAATCATCTGTGAAATTGCATAGTCTAAGGCCGCCTATAGTCAGACGGAGGGCTCGAAATTCTCAAGACTCCAAACAAATATCCAGGAGTTTGAATTCGGCTCACGTCAGCCTTCAGCCTGGACCACATTTCCAGGTGAAATGGGAGAGCTGTACTCAGAAAATCCACTTTTTATCTTTCGTTTCTTGTTCTGGCTCCCATTAATATACAGCACATTTTTATCTTCCAGCTAGTGTGAAAGCTGTGAATCATAGAAATTGTGTGTGCTCAGTCTGATATGAAGTTATATTTTAGTGTCTGTTTTGCACTTTAAGGTGGTATAAATCCTCTTGTCTTGTGAACAGCAGGGCGTCTGGCTAATGTTTGTGTCAGTAACAATGTTGATATTCTTGACCTTAAAAATACAGAAATATATGAAATACAAGTGTTTTACAAAAGTTTTTACTCGGAGCTTTCTTTTTTATAATCAATGAATTCTTTTAATTAGAGATTAATTATAATAGAATATTCTAAGTTGTTGACATTGCGTTGTTTGTAAAATGTGATATTACTGGAAATACACTGTTCACACTGTGGCATATTGATCCAAGAGTTTCAATAGAATGCAAATCATATGAAGCAAAAAAAACAAAACTTGCTCTTGAGGTGTAAAATATGTGTTTTTAAAACCTACGTGTTCATCTACTATGTTGCTCAGTTGCGTGTGTGTTTGTATGTTGCAGGTCATTCCAGTGTGAACTATCAGCCCCAGGAGACCCGCTCTCGGCTGTCCAAGACGGTGGACCAGGTCCTCCGGGACAATGTGGCGATGCCGCACTACATGCATTTCACGGAACTGCAGGGTGCTGACCATCTGGTTCGGTTCTGGTTGGAGGCTGAGGGTTTCCGCTCCACCAGCTGGTCGCGAGTCAGAGCGCACAGTCTAAACTCTGTCAAACACAGCTCCTTGGCTGAGCCCGTCCCCGCCTCCCCAGATGGCTCAGAGTTCCCCGAGACGGCCCCACACACGCCCTATGCCCTCGCCCGGGACAGTAGCAGTGAACGTCCTGCAGTGCCGTCAGAGCGGCGGGACTCCTCCAGCTCAGACGCGGGCCTGAGACCCGGCACCCCTCGAGCAGATACCCCCAGCAGGCAGGCACCCTCCAGGACAGGGACTCCCTACAAGGTGCAGGCGAACAGCGCCCTGCGAGACTCTGACAAACTCATGAAAAGTGAGTCAGTCTTTTTCTTTTTTTTATATTTGACCAATTATTTACATGTTCAATCAATTCAGGATGTTTTAGATTCAGAAAGTGACTTTTCATCACACTGGTGGTCAACACATCTCCGTATTTGATAATCAGGAAAATGATTATGTCAGGCAGCTTTCTATAGCTGCTGTAGCTAACAAGGATCCTAATAAACTAAACTAAATTACTAATTACCTGTTAAAGCCAAAATAAGATGATTTCATTTTTGAATAGCTTTATGCAGAGATATCAAGTGTGCTTCCATCCACCTGTCTTTTGTGCAAATTCAATTTCAAATCTGAGTGCAAATGCAGGAAATTTGATGAGGTGTATTGATAAACAGGAAACGCACTGGAAACAGACTTAGGGAATAGATTATGACGTACATGAAGCAGCACGTGACTTAATTGTCACTCAAGCTTCCACTAGAGAGACAATGAAAAGATGAAAACATCAGATCTGTGTGGAGAGGTGAGGAGACACATTATCAGATTAACTCATGACACAAATATAAATGTCACATTTCAGTCACGTTTTGAAGATGTTTTCCTTTTGTTTGAGGTTTGACTGGTGCTGGTTTGATTTTGTCAGCTTGCTGCACCCTCTTCTTCTGTAATGGTTTAATGGCAGTGGACTGGAGAATCAGCGCCACTAAGTGTTTATCTCAGTGCATCACACTCTGCATCAAGCAACTATAACATTGGCATCAGACTAGATGGAAATGCACAATAGTTTGCAATTTCTTTTGACTGACAATTTTATGAAAATGTGGCTATTGCCTGGTGATGGTGGTGGAGGAACACTTTTTGTTTTCTCTTAAATTTCTCACTTCCTGTGCAACAAAATATGGCCCAATCCCAAAGTCCCCCCTAAGGCTTGAGTCCTCACAGACTTAACTGACGGCACCTGGTGAGTGATTGAGTGTGAGAGGCTGCAAGGGCTCAAAATGGTTTGAAGAGGAATGGGACAGCTACTTATATCACGTTACCTTGGCGATGCCAAAACATGTGCATTCAATTGTGGATTTTGGACTTTTGTTTTTACAAAAAAAAGTTTTATTCCCTTCCTTTGCTCCCTGTTTGTAAAGAAAAAAAATAATGTGGGATCAAATCTGATGAAAGTATATTTGGAATCCATCATCATGTCACCACAGGACAAATAACCCCGTGTTTAATGTCACAGTGCTATGAACTTTGGGATATTCCCTCAGGCAAAGTCTGCAGAAATGCAGACTTATTGAAAGTGTGCATAAAGGGCTCAAAATGTCTGCTGGAGACAGTAGGACAGTCCTAGGCCCTCAGGGACTCACCGGGAACACGTCTTCACGTCTGTGATTCTGTGAGGGTGGACATTGGGACTGGCCTTATCCCTCACTAGTGACCAAGAAGGTTTTGGTTAAATAAAGGGGCACAGTGCCATCCCAGTCTGACGCCACAGCATCCCGACTTTGTGATTCAGAGTCGTCTTTTGAGTCCATATTTAAACTGGAAAGGTAGAACGGACAGGAGGAACAACAACACTGACCAATTATCCTTTTAATCTACATATGTGCATAAAATGTGAACCTAACCTTTAAAATATCTTTTCGTTGACATACACGGGGGGAAAGCATCACTCTCGTAGCATCACCGGATGATCAGCTACTTGCCTCTGTGCGTTCCAGGTATAGAGAAAGATGCTGTTACCATCTTCACCAAGTACATCTCTCCGGACGCTGTGAGGCCCATCCCCATCACAGAACAAATCAGAAATGACATAGTTGGTAAGATACAGAAGACAATCAAAGACTCGGTCATCCATCTTGAATGTTATCCTGTTGTACAGTAATACTGCTGTCCCCTCCTCTGTGCAGCTAAGATATGTGGAGAGGACGGCATGGTGGACCCAAACTGCTTTGTCATTGCACAGTCTGTCGTCTTCGCCATCTTGGAGCAACAGTGAGTTTCCATCTATTCATTTTCTAGAGGAGTTAATACTCACCTGGCAAGGTTTCCTGTGCCAGGTGAGTATTAACTCTTGACATTAAGAAGTGTTACCGGTGTTCTCTTTGTCATGTTACCACCACGGCAGCAGCTGTATTCATCTTCCACTCGCCCTTTCATTTCCAGGCACTTTAGTGAATTCCTGCGGAGCCATCATTTCTGTAAATACCAGATTGAAGTGTTGACTAGTGGCTCTGTGTTCCTGGCTGACATTTTGTTCTGTGAGTCAGCTCTCTTCTACTTCTCTGAGGTGAGTGGGCTCAGTGGTTCTCTCAACATTATTTATTTGTGATCACAAGCAGGTTTCTACACTGACTCTGTTAAACCCTCCTCTCTCAGGTTCTGCTCATCTATTCCAGAGGGAATTTCTATAGTTCTACAGTTGTAATTAACTGAGGACACGGTCAATATAACAAACACAAATGCTTGTTTTACAATCTCCTAACCCATTGATATAATACAGAAGTGATAATTAACACAGTACACTAAGAGAGTCCAGGTGTGGCAGAGTCAACAAGGAGACAAGGATGTTGTAAAAACACGCATGGACTTTCAGTTGTTCTGCGCTCCGTATCTCATCCCCTGCAGTACATGGAAAAGGAGGAGGCGATGAATGTACTGCAGTTCTGGCTGGCGGCAGACAACTTCCAGAACCAGCTCGCAGCTAAAAAGGGCCAGTACGACGGCCAGGAGGCTCAGAACGACGCCATGATCCTCTACGACAAGTAGGTGCCGTGTCTGCTGCTGCTTTGCAATCCTGTCATGCTTCAAAACACCCAGTTATTTCTGTTATAAGAGTGAGTTTGATTTGATACTTGGAAGTACCCATCATGTTATAATCACTATGTCTATTTAGTTTCACAATAGATATTTTCCTTTTAAGTGTTATACTACTTTCCCCGTATCATTTCCTTGGAGTTACTGGAGGCAATAAAAAAGTAAAAGCTTGCTCCTCTCCTTTTTCACTGTTCCCCGACCTCACTGGTGTTTTTTTTTGTATAAAATCCTAATTAAACCTTTAATTTCAGTCCAGTGATTCAGTTAATTCATACATTTCTCTTCTTCCATCACTGCAGCTCAGAATGACTGATAATTGGACTTAGAAACGATATCCTCGGTTGTCTTTCATTAGAAAAAGAGTCGACACACTGTTAGTTTGCTGCTTTGACTAGAAATGCAACACCTTGGTCGGATAAACCTCATCAGACAACCTCATTTCTACAACTTCTAATTCTTCTCTAGTGGTGTGATTACATTGTTTAAATTTTCCTTTGTATGCCGTTGCTATGGCTGAATGATCCCACTTGTGTCACTAGTTCCTCTCATGTCTTATTATTGATGTTCCTGGGTCTGATGATGTTGCCTGTGATTAACATCTCTCTCACATAAACACTGGACCTGGAGAGATAAACTCAGTTAACTCCCTCAGTTAAATTTGTTTTTTGCCATAAATTTTATTGATATTTTTGGACATAAATAATGGGTTGACATGGGCACACATAAATAAAATGGGGCTTTTAATGACTTCTGTACTGGGCTACATCTTATAGGCACATGTACAGTATGTAGTCTATTTTTTCCAGTATTTTACATAGTGATTGTATCATAATCAGAAGGTGAAGGTCAGTTTCTCCACACAGTTTCTCTATTGATGATACAGTCCAGTCCTCTTTTATTGGAGGATTTGTCCGCAGCCATTAAGAAATCCTATTTTACTATTTGTTATTCCGTGCTTTGAACTCTTCTCGCTCAGCCTGTGGTGACCTGAGCAGACTGAAGGTTTAGGTCAGGTGAGGGGGCAGGACTGCACATGTTGGCTATTTTTTTCTTCCTCTGTTTTAAGTTTTCTTGCTTGCGAACCTCAGGGGTTCATGTTTCTCTGTCCTTTATACTTCTTGATGTTTGTTCTGAATTGTATTTTGGACAGTGATTAAAATGTTAATATACTGTAGGTGGCGTCATGTGAATTCAGTGGCTCATCATGCTGTTTCCTCTCCAGGTATTTCTCACTCCAAGCCACCAACCCTCTGGGCTTCGGCGACTCCGTGCGGATGGAGATAGAGTCGAATATCTGCAGAGAGGGAGGACCTCTCCCCGACTGCTTCACCACTCCGCTCAGACAGGCCTGGACAACCATGGAGAAGGTCAGACTCTCTGATAGCCACCCACCAACGGCTCTTCAGTGGTTACTATGGGGCTTCTTCCAGCTATGTAAAATACAGCAGAGTAGAACAGAGATATGAGGCATTCAGTTCAGATACATTGCCCTTTAAACTATCTAATTATACATGCTTTTAAAAGCATCTACTTGAACTGTTTTCTTCAGTTTAATAGAATCCTCCAGAAGGTTTTGTGTTGTAAGTCACTTACAAATGGTGTTTTTACATCGCTGACAAATGCACCTGCCTCACGATAATGAAATAAAAGCTCAACACTGTTGTTAGCACGTAAAGGTCAGTAGCAAACCTTTGTAACTCTTGCCCAGAAATATATCAGGCAGCTCATTATTTTCTAACAGAGCTGTTTTGCATTTGTTCAGGTCTACATGCCAGGCTTCCTGTCTAGCAACCTTTACTACAAATACCTGAGTGACCTCATCAACTCTGTGCGGGCGGATGAATTTGTGAATGTCAGCACTCCAGGTCAGAGCGGGCCCGCGGACAACGACCGCTCCGGTTCAAATGCCAGCGAGGGCTCTCAGACTCAGGTGACCCCCGGCTTTAACCCCCGTCCTCGGCCCCTGTGGGGATGTTCCCCTGTCTGCTGACATTTAGACCTGTTCTGCCTCATTAGATGAATAATGAAGATATTTTTGTTAATGCCAAAGGGTCGTGGTCATTCCTGTCGTTTAGTTGTCTTCATAGAAAAAAAATGGGAACGGTTACCTGTCGTGTTGCTAAACGTTGAGTTCGTGCTGTCCTCACTGCAGCACGGTGCCAGAAAGGCCGCGATCAAGATCCTGAAAAACTTTGATGAGGCGATCACAGTGGACGTGGCCAGTCTGGACCCGGAGTCCTTGTACCAGCGGCCATACGCTGGGTGAGTTTGTGTGTCTGATGTTCCTTTGCTGTCAGATAGGTGAATACAAATGATTAGTGACACGAATGAGAGGCAGAGGCAGCCTGAACGCTCAGACATCGACCTAAAACATGAGGTATGCTTTAAAAAATGAGTCGGCTGTTAAGAGAAAACATTATGTGACTCGTAGCTGATCGGTTAAAACACTAAAAACCACCAATTTGGTTTTAAAGATGCTAAATCGTTTTTTTAAATCACCTCCTAAAATGTACCTCTCACAGATTTGCTGTTATTCAAGTTTCCTTGTCGTCTTTGACTTTTATGTTTCTCTTCCTTTATGTTCCTTTCATTTGGATTCAATGCTTGTATCCTTTTGTTTTTATTGACTCAGTCGTAAAGTGTTTTATGAGTCTGCTTTGAAAAATCCTGCACAAAAATAATTCAAGAGAAAGATCTTATTGAAAGACAAAGCTGTAGTCTCTCTTTGTTTTTTCACTCTCTATTGAAACTGCAGTTTTTGAATGGATACACACACACACACACACACACACACACACACACACACACACTATCAGCGGTGTTTGAATGCTGTGTGTGTGTGTGTGTGTGTGTGTGTGTGTGTGTGTGTGTGTGTGTGTGCGTGCGTGCGCCTGAGGCTCACTTTTGTCCCATTTGCTCTGTCTGCTGTCTTCATCCGTCTCCTTTCCTCTCTCTGCTCAGAAGGATGACGTTTGGGAAGGTGAACGAGCTGGGCCAGTTTATCAGGGAGGCAGAGCCAGAGCCGGATGTGAAGAAATCCAAAGGCACGACACACTCGCACTTGTCTCTCTCTCCTCTACCTCCATCTGTCTCATTATTCTCTTTGTATCTTTACCCTCACTCTGTCATATTTTATCTCTTCCCTCCTTGCAGTGAAAAACGTCTACTCTTTGCCCACGAATATAAACCTCCTCTAGTGGCTGCTTCCATTCTCCTTACAGCTGATAGTCTCTTGAAATATTTAAGAACATTCCCCTTGGAAAAGAAAAAACACGTCCTCCACTACTCTTTGTCTGGAGTAGAGTCTCAGGCATTTGAGCTACAGGATAACTAATCAAATTGCCTGTTGATAAAGCATTAAATACCTTAATGTGTCAGGATGAACTCACCTTGATTTGATTTTAGCAGTTAATTTGTTCAGTTAAAGAAACAAATGACACATTATTTGTTTTCTGTTTACTGATGTTTGTCTCATCCCCCCCCCTCCTTTAGGTTCCATGTTTTCTCAAGCCATGAAGAAATGGGTCCAAGGCAACTCAGATGAGGTGAGGAAGCAATTAAATAACCATGAATAATTCAGTGGTCTGAGGCACATGACGAGGCTCTCAACAGCATGTATTCAGATTCACTCTGTGACGTCAGCCCATGACTTATGAGTTATTAAAGAATGTAAATAACAGCCTGCGCTGAATTAAAGTTATTGATTGTGCCGTGACTCAAGGCCCAGGAGGAGATGGCGTGGCAGATTGCCAAGATGATTGTCAACGATGTCGTCCACCAGTCAAACCATGACAGCCCCGGCAAGGCCACCAAGGTACGAGCCTCACTCAGTATTCTGTCGCTCCTGTGCGGTGATGTGTGGAGTGACTACAGTTTTTCTCTGAGTGTTTTCTTTTGTCTGTCTGCAGTTATGACCCCACTGAGCGACCAAAGGACTGTCACTCCCTGCAGACGCCAGCCAAGCCGGTGACAAACCGTACACAGGGTTCACCCTGCAATGAACTGCATTACTCCGAGAGCGAACAAGGCTTTTTATCACCTCCCTGAACAACGTGTGTGTGTGTGTGTGTGTGTGTGTGAGTGTGTGTGTGTGTGTGTGTGTGTGTGAGAGAGTGAGTGAGTGAGTGAGTGAGTGAGTGAGTGATTGTTCATGCATGGGCTAATGGGAAACTTGAAGTGCATCATTGTTCCAATCTTCCAACTCCATAACACTATAAAGGTACACGTGTAGTCGCCAAAAGCAAAGTAAAGAGCTTGCGTCGGACTGGAGGAAGTGACTCCTGAGGAAGCAAACGTTCGTCGTGATGCTAGAAGAATGCAGGCATGAAGAAGCAGCAGCAGCTGAGTCAGGACTATCACTGTGTTGCTGTAGCCGTAGTGTTTGTACAATGTCTTATCTCGGACCTGTGGAGGACATGACAAAGACTGAATTACCTTTACTCCCTCATGACACACCTCCCCACACCTTTTATAACCATTCCTTGTTTTTAGATGAAATTCTCTTTTAAGGGTCAGCTACTTAAGGATTAAGCGGATGAGTGTCCTCAGTTTGGGGCGGTGTACAGTTTTTGCACTTGCTCTCCTCAGCCTGTCTGGAGTGGTCTCGTCTGCTGCTCCCTCCTGTCAGCTGTCCTACGTTGGCTGTTAACTGTACGTACTGTAGAACGTCTGGAAAAGTGACAATGAAACAGAAGAGGATCTGACTCAGTTGTTGGACTGGCTGACTTTCTGTGTGAACCTCCTGGCACCTTCAGAGTGTAGAAGAAGAAATACTCCCTAATGAACTTAAGTGCTCCAGTTGTGTTGGAAAACTCCAAACTCCGTGTCCTAAATGTTTGTTTATATATATATATATATATATATATATATAAATTGTAGACTTCTGGTTTACCCCATATATTAATGTTAGTCCTTTTTTATGGTGATTGCTGTTTTTTTTTATGCATCACTGAAACAAACCGGACTGTTCAACTGGAAAGTGTGCTCAGTGAAATAAACATTTTTTTAATTTCTTTTGAGCCTTACCAAGATGTGGAAAAGAACCAGAAAAGACTCTTGGTACTATGTACCACTAATGTTTTCTGACATGTATGTGTACTTAATCTATAATATATTTAAATTGTGTTTGATTTAAATACATATATTATGAAATGTTTTGTCTGCCCTCATTTTTTTTGTTGACGTATCTCAGCTGAAGTGTTGGTACATTATCGTGGTTTCAGGCCACTGCAGGCTGTGGTTATTTTGATGTAGAAGCTGTGTGATGTTTACAGGGGGATTGGTTTTCTTTTAAAAATCATTTTCAAATCAGTATTGTAGTTGAAATGTGGGCAGAGTGACAGCTCGGCCCATGTCAGCAGCTTTACAGTGGACTATTATCTCCTCTGACCATGTGGGGGCAGTGTTGACTGTAGTGCTATGTTAGGGTAAAACGGAAAAGGACACAGGTCACGCGGTGTGTTATTTCAGACATAAGAATGAGTGTCTACTTTCTTCTCTCATACCAGATCTACAGATTCAGAAAAAATCCACAAATTGTAAAATACAACTCATCTCAAAGGGCTCGCAGTCACCTTGGGTACAGTATGGCTCTGTAAAAGATTTAAAGTGTTTCATTCATTCATTCATTCATTCATAAATTATTCATTTTAGAGTTCTGACTGTGGAAGTCGCCTCTTGCTGTTTAATATCTGCTTTAAATGGACACGAGCATCTCTCCAAATGACTGGATTTGAAAGATGGTGAATTTTCTGGTTGTATTTGAAGACACAGTTAGCTCACTGCTAAAGCTAACTGGCGTATGATATTTGACACATTAATTAGCTAAACGCCTTTATGCTTTTTCACAGCGCATTACTACGTGCTGCGTGAAGTCCCACGAGCTCATCGTGGTTTCCAGACTGAGGCTATACCTCCACGTGCAGAGGCAACGCCCACCTCCATACAAGCCAGCCGCAGTCCTGGACTCTGATTGGCTGAGATGTTGACACGGACTCGTATCTGTGTGAAACAATTAATACACCAATGTTGACTTTAACTGTACATGTCGATGCTCAGAAGTATTTTGTTTTGCGCAGAATAACATTTTCATCCAGATTAAAAACGTTGAATTCATAGTTTCATACTCTGTTTTTATTACAGTGTTTTGTCTCGTTTCTTTATGAAAACTAGTGCACACAACGAGCATCAACAAAGTGCGAGGTGCACTTGGACAGGTACTTGCGGTCAGACGCTCTGTCAAGTCAAACAGAGACAATCTGCAGAACACCGGAAGTGTGCGTTTTTGCCTTCAGAGTAAAAGTGATGTTAACGTTAACAAGGGGATTCGACGGATCTGCTGTTACAGGGATCCTTGACTGATCCTAGCTATCAAAATTTACAGTACAGTTGCATTCCCCAAATTCTCAAACCACTAAGGTGGTTTCCGCACATTAAACGCTGTTTGTCCACCTGGATCATGTAACACAGACAGGCACCACATTACATCTTTAGTGTGACCCCCCCCCCCAACATACAACACAGAATAACTGCAGAGACTCAACCCAAGTCCAACAACCAGTTGTTGTTGATTCAGTATATATAGTTGTACGTCCATCTCTCTGTTACATTGTGAACATTTCTAGGATAATAATAATAATGTGTGCATTGTTTTTTAAAGACGTTAAACGTTAAATTTTGAGAAGAGGAATGGTCAGAATTGAAATGGCTTTTATGGTCTTTTAGTTCCTAAGGTCAAGCTCCAAAAACACTGGATCCTACATTTCCCATAATGCAACCAAATGGCAGGCTTACTTTGTCAGACATCTCCAGAGCCACAGACTTTATACAGGCTGAGACTGAGAACTTCTCATCACCGTGAGCAAACTGACATTTATGTGTAAAATTAGTGCATTGCCTCTTTAGTTATAATTATTTCAATTTACTCTGCGTTTTACTGTGGTGGCTCTGGTACATTCACAACACTATCTCAAATCTTGCGGCGCAGCGTCTTCGGTATTTTTACTTTGAAAATCACTTCCGGAAGTACTCCTTTTAACCTCTGTGAGCTTGACGTTGTCCAGACTCACTCCTCCTGAAACGCAATGTGCGCTGCTGTCCGTGTTGAGGCAGCGCAAGTGCCTTGAGAGGAGCAGAGGAGCTGAGGACCCAGGACCTGTCTGTGTCTGGACTGAACCGCCTCTCCAGCTGCTCCAGCTGCGCGCACAGCTGCGCGCACAGTTTTGGGTGTGACAAACATCTTGTGTGTCAGACTGGGGCATGTTTCCAGTGTGAGTGGATGCCGCGGATCACTTGACTTTATTGTATCGCCGTCACTCCTCCTGCTGATGTGTTTTGGATGTTTTCTTACTGGTTTGTTTCTCCAGTCCAGATGTTCTGGGGGGCACGCGCTCACACAGCTGCCCCTGCGGATGTCCAGTGATTTGATGTTGTGCTGATGTAGCGCTGGTCAGGGGCTGAAGTTGAAGTCTTGCTCTTGAAGGTGTGAGCTCCAAATGCATTCGCTCCTGGGCCGGGAAAAGAAAGAAGAAGAAGCCGGGTTTGGGATCGAGCTGGGTCTGTCTCCGGGCTTTTTGCCCCACGCTGCCACCATGTTCAGCTGTGTGGGCTGCTTCTGGGTGCTCCTCTCCTCCGCTCTGGTCGCCGTCTGCAGTTTCAGCTTCATATCTCCTGCCTGGATTGTTAAGGACCAGCTGAGGAACAGCCACCACCAGCAGCACCACCCCCACCACCACAACAAGGACTCTGTGAGCTTCGGCTTGCTGTGGCACTGCTCGGAGTCTCTGGACCACATGTACCGATGCTACACCTTCGGGGGACTGGGTAAATTTGCAGAGATCCCCTCCAGCTCCTGGCAGGTAGTTCACCTTACACACCCATGTCTGTCACATGTGGATGGATGAGAGCTTGTGGGCATGGCATGCTATCATTGGATCCAGGATTGAATCAGTAGCTGGGCAGCAAAAATTAATAATCATCATAATAAAATAATCCCAATAATTAAAATAATTACTGCTGTAAATGAAGAATCAACCAAATTCAAGAGAATGATTCTTGCTTTGAGACATTTAATCAAACAAGTTGATTTGCATTAATAAAAAAGTCCTTTATCTTTCACTTTTAAATTTGAAATAGTTCTGATTTAATGTCACAATGTAAATTTCACTGGATCCATCAGCTGTTACTCCACGTTCAGCATCAACAGCAGCTCATCTGATTTTCACATTTGTCTTAGATCTTCTTGTGACTCCGTACAGGGTTCACTGACACCTCATGATGCAACTCAGGCACACACTGTACATGCTACACACACACACACACACACACACACACACACACACACACACCCATGTGTCACAGTCGACTGAATGATGCTACAGAATAATGGCTCTGATGCTCCTCAGTCAATTTCTGTGAAAACACAGTCGGGATGATGCAGAGTGTTTCAGTCAGAAGAGATGATTCATTGATCTGGGGGGTGGTGGTGGTGGTGGGGTGGTGGGGTGGGGGGGTGATGGTATCATACAGAGCAGCATCTGCAGCACAGCACGCCAGACACACATCAAAGCTGTGAAAGTGGCTCTGGGTGGGTGGGGGCTGCTCACTGATCAGGGGCCCCTACTAGCAGGAATTTCAATTTCATCAAATTGAAAACAGTTAGCAAATGTGCAAGTGGCTGTTTCAGACCACTCTCCATTCTCCCCCACCCGTGGAGGAAACAGCTGTGCAATTATATCCAACAACAAGCATCCTCACAGGTGGGGGGGTTGATCACACCAGCGCTGGTGAGCCAATAATACATTCATCTGTTTGTAGAGCTTCAACTTTAACTAAAAGTTTGGAAATGACTTCTTCACTATCGAATCAGACTGTTGCAGTGAAGTGGGAGTCAGCTGACGAGAGTCTGGAGCTTGTTAGAGCAGAAACAATTGGCCTTGTTAGAAGTCTTGTATCTGGGACGCTTACTATTCATGCAAGTTGTGGGATAATTTAATTCCTGACTACAGGCAGGCTGCTTGGACCCCCCAGCCTTGCACCCCCCCTGTAGAAATCTTAAAAAAAAAACTGCTACAATATACCAGCCACCTCTGGAGTTATGATTTATGTATGAAGGGGAATTAGCATTTGAAAGGGAGATATTAATAAGTGGCTGCTTGGTGGTGTGATAGTAGCGCTGCAGAGAGACGGATGCAGCGCCCGGGTTTGTTTTCACATCGAGGCACAGGTGTTGAAACTGCAGAGGACAGGTAGAGCAAAGAGTCAACACACGACTGGATTTATATTCACACATTAACTGCTGCACGTCCTCCGCTGAGTTTAAGTGGGTTACACTGTGTTTAAGGCTCATTTGGCTAAAATCAGGAGTCGTTTTGCCTGTTAGCCAGTTGTCAGTGAGTTAATTAGTGGGTCTTCCAGTGTGTTAGTGAGTGAGTGTGTGAGGAGGCTGATGGAGCTGATGGAGCTGATGGAGCTGCTTTTCTGTGCAGAGCTACATGTGTTATTATAGTGGTGAACCCAAACGCACGATCCTGCTCCCACAGCCATGAATAAAGGTGAGGGGCCATTAAGTTTTCATCAGAGCCGCTTTATTACTCCACCCCCC